CGGGCCCCGAGCCTCATTTCCTGCTTTTTCAGTTTCCTTTGAATAGGGGTGGGTGGGTCTGGATGCAGTGCCGTGGGGGCGCCCAATGAGGCGGGCCGGGGGGCCGCGCGGTTGTTAGAGGGTCCCCGGCGGGGCCCGGGTCGGGCAGGGGGCTTCTTTGCATGAGCGGGGGTCTTCCCGAACCTGCCGGGACCATGACCTGAACTGTGCCAGCGGGACGCGTCCGACACCGAGAGCCAGCCCACCTGAGCCGCCCCTGCCCCTGGCCACGATGGTAAGTGGGGTCGGGCCCCCCAGTGCCCCGTGGGCGCGGGCCCCGCCGTGGCTGAGGGCTGGGAGGCGCGTGCCGAGCCCGGCGGTGACACATGCGTGCGGGCTGCGAGCCGGGTGCTGCGCCCCAGCCCTCCCGGGGGTGTCAGCACTGGGAGGGACCTGGAAGCCCTCGCAGCTGGCGTTTGGCTCTTGTAATTACAGCTCATCCTGACAATGGCCATCACTTATTTGTTGAGGAGCTGCCACGCTGGTAGCGCAGTGGTTCAAGCTTTTGCCTGCCAGCCACAAGATGCGTGGTTGGAGACCATCGGCTCCTGGGAGGGAGAAAGGTGGCAGTCTTCGGCCCTAAAGACTTAGGGACAGCTTTGGAAAGGATGGGGGGGGACCCTTGTAGCCCTTGCTATATAAAGTCTCCGTGAGCAGCAGCCCACTCCACGCTAGTGGGCAGTGAGTTTTGGGGTGCTAAGCGATTGGCATGGATGGTTCCATTTAATTACCTACCCCACTAGCTCTCTGAGATCGTTCTGAAGTGGGGAGACGGAGAACAATTCTGCAGCTCAAGGTCAAGCAATTTCCAGTGATGGGGGAGGGTGGGGCAAGGTGGTGTGAATGGGGGTAACCTGACTTCCTGGCTCCTATCCGCAGAACTCATTCATCTACTCCTGTTGGCTTAGATGTGAGCAAACTGGGTCTGATGTGCAGAGGGCCCTAGGCAGATCTTAGCAAAGTTAGGATCTTTTGATGTCTAGGTTTCTGTGCTTTCTGTACCACGTGCTGGCTGGCCCCTTTCCTGGTAGTGGCTCAGAAGCCACCTCTTCCCAAGCTACTTTGCACAGTGTCTGAACCTTTATCCCTTCCAGTTCCTGGCGTGGTCCAGCCTCTGGCGACACATTAGCATTGCCAAGTCAGTGTTGTAGAGAGGGTTTCAGTTACATCTTCGGTGATAGAGATGGTCAGGTTGATGGGGGTTTCCAGGCATCCATCCCAGGGACCTCTGAGTAGCTTAGAGCGTCTAGTGGGGCAGAGGCCAGCATGCTTGGTTGCCTACCAGAAGGCTGGCAGTGTGGACCCACCAACCACTCTGTGGGAGAACCATGTGGAGAACAGTCTGCGTGGAAGCCCTGCCGGAAAGAGAACGGCAGTAAAATGAGGTATGGCTGTATTCTGTACACAGGGATTCTCCATGAGTTAGAATCCACTCAGTGGCAACTAACTTAACAGCAGCATGCACATACATGCTGTTTTTCTCATCATAAACAAAACCGTGGACTCCTGCTTTCCTGGCAGCTCCTGTCCCATTCCTTTGTTCTTTGCAACAAAATTCTAGGAAAGTGTTCTGTACTGAATTGTCTCTAATTCTTTACCCTTCCAGTCTCTTATTTTATCAAGGTCCCTTCCGCCCCTGTTGCACAATCCGGTGGTGAGTTGTTCTCAGACCTCATATTTCTTGATCAGCACTGGAAAGTTGACTACTCTCCGTCTCTGTTAAAACTTTCTTCACTTGGCCTCCAGGAGACTAAGATGGGCTCCTGGTTTTTCTCCGTTTTGGTGGTTTCTTCCTCATCTCGTTGATCTTGGCACATCTGGAATGCCCAGACCTCAGATCTATTGAACTCTTCCAGGACACTTACAAGCATAGCACTCCCAGTGCAGATAGCTGTCCTCAGCTCCAGTTCCCACATATCCAACTGCCTAATCGGCAGCCAGACTTCTTTTTGTGTGTATGTCAAATGCTGTTGGGCGCCATCGAGTCAGTTTTGATTCAAAGCAACCCTGTGGACAACAGAATGAAACACTGCCCGGTCCTGCACCATCCTCACAGTCGTCCTGTGTTTGAATCCATTGTTGCAACAAGGGTCTTCCTCTCATGTCCTTCTCCAAAGACTGTTCCCAACTGGAAATGTGTCTGTCTGGCCTGGTTGTCTACAGAAACAAATCCATCCACACTCAGCTCTGTGTAAGGTAGAACTTCATGTTAAGAAGCACCTGTACATAAAAAAGGTACCCCAGCCCAATCCAACTCAAGCCCATAAACCCGATGCTAGCCAAGGACCTTCTTCAGAGCCCATGACTCAGAAAGATGAAGCAGGAAGCTGGGAGATCACAGGCTGGTTGGTGTAGAGTCTCATGGATCCAAGGTTTGTGGAAGGTCATGGCATGGGTGCTGACAGCTCGCCGTTGGTGGCTCACATGGGGCCACCCCTGGAAGCAGACACACAATCCCAGCGAGGAGGAAGGCAAAGTGGCAGGGAGAAATCCTCTCTGTTCCTCTTGCTCTTTATACAAAAGCAGTGTTTCTCAACCTGGGGGGTCGAACAACCCTTTCACAGGGGTCACCAGATTCATAACAGCAAAATTAGAGTTATGAAGTAGCAACGAAGATAATTTTATGGTTGGGGTCACCACAGCATGAGGAACTGTATTAAAGGACTGCGGCATTAGGAAGGTTGAGAACCACTGTACAAAAGGCTTTGGACATAAAGGAGGTGTCATCAGGCTGCCACTTGATAGATTTGACCTCACCCCTTGGGAGTGTCTTGTTGCCATAATCCCTACTACCACATTGTCTAGAGGAGTCTTGGTGGTGTGGTGGTTAAGCTGGGCTGCTATCCACGATGCCCTCAGAAACCACCAGCTGCTTCAAGGGATTGAGATAAGACTTTGTATTCCTGTAAACAGTTCTAGTCTGGGAACTCACGGGCAGTTCTGCCCTGGTCCATAGGGTCATTGTGCATTGACATCAACAGTGAGTTTGCTTTTTTGGTTTGGACCACATTGAAGTATGTGAGATAAAGTCTCACCAGCCTCACTTCTGCGAAACATTCTGGCTGTACTTCTTCCAAGTCAGAATTGTTCTCCTTGCAGCCTGTATTATGTCCAGTGTTCTTCACCAACACGATAGTTCAAATGTGTGACTAATTCTTTGATCACTCTTATTCATTGTCCTCCTCGCATGAGCATATGAGGTGATTGACAATATCATGGTTTGGGTCAGGTTCACCTTTGAATATCTGTTGCAGCTGATTTGTTCAGTGCAGTATGCTGTTTGATTCCTTGTCTTCTGCCTCCATGGGCATTGATGTGGATCTAAGTACAATGAAATCTTTGACAACTGTAATATTTTATCATTTATCAGGATGTTGCCCTTTGAATTGTGAGGAAGTTTGTTTTCTTTATGTTGAGGCTGTAGTCTTCGATCTTCATCAATAAGTGTGTCAAGTCCTTTGGCAAGCAAGATTGTGCCGTCTGCATATTGCAGGTTGTTAGAAGCCTTTCTCCAACCCTGAAGTTGTGTTCTTCATACAGTCCAGCTTCTCGGGGTATTTGCTCAGCATACATCAAGATTGACTAAGTGTGGTGAAAGGATACAACCTGAACGCACACCTTTTCAGCTTTTTATGCCATGTAGTATCCCCTGTGCTGTGTGAATGGCTGCCTCTTAATCTGTGTGCAGATTCCAAGGGAGTACAATTAAGTGTGCTGAAATTTTCTTGTGTTGCAGCAATCTACACAGTTGAATGCCTTTGCGTAATCAGTAAATCACAGGTAAACACATCTTTTGTGCTTTCAGCCAGCATTCATCTAACACCAGCAATTATATCCCTAGTTCCAGGTCCTCTTCTCAGTTCACCTTGACTTTCTGGTGACTCATTGTCGATTTACTACTGCGACTGCTTTTGAATTTTCTTTTTAAAATCATTTTATTGGGGGCTT